AGAGAGAAAGAGAGAAAGAGAGAAAGAGAGAAAGAGAGAAAGAGAGAAAGAAAGAAAGAAAGAAAGAAAGAAAGAAAGAAAGAAGTAAAGAAGAGACGGAGGAGGAAGAGATGCAGGGGAGGAAAAGAAAGAAAAAAAAAACAGGATGAGAAGAAAACAGCGAGGGAGGAAGACTTTAAGGAAAAGAATAAAAACCCAGAACTACAGCAGTAGAAACTAACAAAGAAAGGACTTTCAGTACAAGCGGAAGAAGCCAGCCTTACATCTCTAATTATCTCTGAAGACTTGGCTTTATTCTAGCATATTAGGATCAATGAAGCATAAAATAAATGATTATTCTGGATAACCAGAAGTTAATAATTATACCAAGTACATTCTGTATATAAAACAGAAAGATTTGAAGGGAAAAAAGTTAAATCAAAAATTAAATTTCCTTTTTAATTTGTGATGTATAAGCTGGGCATTTAAGTTTTCAAAAAATCTTATGCAAATCATTTGTTTCAAGTGATTATATTACTTTAAACATTTAAAAAAACAGAAATTCCTTTTGTCACATAGGAAGGCACCAACCATGGAAAGAGAAACTTACATGTACAGATGTCCTCATGATGTAATTTTTACTAAGTGGCTAAGAGTCATTTTGAAATCATACATGAGGTTGGGGGTGGAGCACCTGCCTAGGCCCTGGGTCTGATAACCTGCACCAAACAACAAAACTTATGTATCAATTTGATGTATGCAAATATTATATAAAAGCCTGGCATTGTGGTATTCCTACAGTCCCAGCTACTTTGGAGGCTGCAGTATATATTTAAAATACACACATACACACACATACATATACGCATCAGTACAGATATACCAATATAGACAGACAGACTGACAAACAGGTATCTTGGATTCCTGAGGGCAAATAAGACAATAATGCATGTAATACAATAAAACCTAGACCTAGTGCTCAGAACTGTCCCTATTTATTAACTGTTATTTTACTACATGATGTCATTTGTCTGTGCTACTCTCCCCAAAATACATTTTGCTGGCAGATTTTGTCAGATGTTCCTATGACTGATTACAAAGCTCTGAATGAAGGGTCAGAACGAATAAGATCTGGCTGCAGATGGGTAGAAAGCAGTGGCATGATAAAACAAAGGCACACACCTGTAATCCCAGCACTCAGGAGGGTGAGGCAGGAGGACTTCGGCAAGTTGAAGCCCAGCCTGCACTGCACAGTGAGTTCAAGGCCAGCATGAACTACATAGTGAGACCTTGTCTCAAAAAACTAAAACAAAAAATTCTCGGAACCAGGGATAAAACAAAATAAAAAGAGCAAAGCTTAGAAGTAGCCCAGACTGGATTTGAGGAAGAACCGCCCCTCAACAAATGTTTACTAAGTTCTCAGCAAGTGCAAGGCTACAGCAGGGTTGAGGGCGAGGCTGGGTCCCACCTTTACCCACAGGGGCTGTCATGCCAGTGCCTGACCTCTCGGGGCTCAGTCCCCATCTACAAAATGAGAACAGTCATTTATCTCCTGAGGCTAAGGCAGCGCCGGAGCTCTCCTCAACAGGGACTGCAGGACTCGTAAATGGATCATTTACAAAGTTTCTTACAGCTGGAACACTGTAAGAGATTGCTCCCTAATCAAACCGTAGCGGCACCACTGAAATGATACTCATTTTCAAGAACACCATGTTCTATGCAGGTTAACACAGTGCTGAAAACTTCGAGCCCAAAGCATGCGATTTCCCTCCAATTAAGTATCGATTCATTATATTTCTATCTTAAGTAAATTCAGCAGAAGTTATGAAATGAGTAAGAGAAAAGGTTTTCATTTAATGTTCTGATTTGTACTTCATTTAAACCCGGCCCTTTGAAAAGATTACAGGATAGTCTAAGACAATTTCATACAATTTTTAATTTTCTTTCTTTATGTATGTGAAGCCTAAGTCCTAAGCCATGATTAAACTGACACCGTGATTGGGATATATTACAGAGGTCTTCTCTGAGACAGTTTTCAGAAAGAACATCACACCTCATATTTTCAGGTCCACACTTAACAACTGCAGCTAATTTCCATAGCTAACAATTGTGGTTAATTTCAAAATTAGTTGATTATTATGCACATTGCCTAATTCTAACCTCTAGAATAATGAATGTAGAGACAGTTATTTTCTTAAGAGGGGTTAACTTACCTTCACAGTACAGATTTTAAAACTCCAACGGGCAAGTAGTTACCCACTTATAAGAAGTACCTGATGCGTGTATATTTTTAAGACCACTCTCATAAAAGAATCTCAGTTATCTCTTGGTGACTATAGGGCCTGATCCCCTATAAATAGTCATGTGTAATATACAGCGGTACCTTGGTTCACAAACAATTCTTTCCACAATTCTGATCACAAACCGAACTGGACAAGAACCAAATAAAATTTCCCGACATGGTTAACACTGAATCTAAGCCCTGAATTTGATTTGGTTCTCATCCAATTCAGATTGTGACCAGACCGTGAAAAGAATCCATTTCCTGAACTGAGGTGTATACGTGTGTACACAAAGGGTGCAGGTTACAGACGTGTCTTTGCTGCGTGTTGAGGATGAGCTCAGAAGTGCTGAGCTATACACGCCCACCCCTTTTCACTATTTCTAAATTTTGAGATGCGTCTTAAGGGCTGGGGAGGTAGAATGCTTGCCTAGCATGTGCAAGTCCTGAGTTCCGTCCCCAGCACTAGGAAAACAAACAAAAGCAAAACAACTCTGAGACAGGGTCTCGCTAAGTCACCCGGGCGACCTCCCGCCTCAGGCTTCTGAGGAGCTGGGATTCTGGGCCTCAGCCCCGTCCCGCCAGCCTCACTTTACACCAAAACAAAGTGAAGGTACTGCAGTGCTTGTCTGCAGACCGTGGAGCTGAGTGCTGAGGTGAGACACTCACTTCCTCGCTGACGAACTTCCACTCCTGCTTCAAGTCTTCACTCCACGTGGCCCACTCCCTGGCAGCTCCCAGCGCGCGCAGCCAGCGCGCCCACAGCGCAGCCGCGGCCCGGCGCACACACACGCCATCGCTGTCCGCGCTCCTGCGGCCCAGGCGCCCGGCGACGCGGCGCAGCTCCGCCAGCTCCTCTTTGGCTGCCAGGAGATCACACTCCAGGGCCTGAAGAAAGAAAAGACAAAGAACAGGAGGGACAGAATGTCTTGGTTTTTTCTGAAACTTATAAATAATCTCCAATTTTGAACAATGAATGATTTTAATCCTCGGCAAGCATCACACGTGCCATTTCTCGTCCTGCAGGAAGTCGATCTGGGCAGGTGAGCTTTACCTATGCATCCCATTCTGGGAGAATTTGGGCCATGGGGACAAATAATGACCCATGAGCCAAAATTTCCAAGTAAGAATGCATTCTCAAAGGTGAATATTCTAAAAGTATATTTTGTTATTCTAACTTGGCTATTTTACTAGGTAGTTCATCTGTACAGTCACTAGCAATATCGATACAATTTAAATTCTTTCTTAGTTCCTGTTTGCTTTTGGTGGATGTTAAGTGCAGATGACTTAAGATGCCCTCATCCAAATCCTACCAGCATCACACCAGACTCCAACAGACGACAATAAGCGAACACCGAACTGCTTAGGGAGAGCACAAATGACTCAGACGGGCGGTAACGGCCACAGCTCTGCGTGGGAGGCTCTGGTCCTGATCCAGCAGGGTCCCTCAAAGTAACGGCAAAGTGAAGGTTCGGGAGCGCCACCGTTAAGGTCAGGATGCTCGCAGGGAGGACTACACTGCATCCGGTTCATGAGCTCTCTCAGAACCACCACGCCGTGTTTTCTCCTTGGCTTCCGGTCTGAGCAATTTTCACAGGTCACAACTCAGGCTGAGGATTTCCACGGGCTGTGACAGAGCCACAGTGTCTGCTGCTTCCTGTGCTGTGACAACCGTCAAGCCGCTGCACAGACCCGCCGAGGACCCGCTGGGGACCGGCATAGGCCGTTACCTTGCTCTGCTCCAAGCGCCCCAAAGCTTCTTTGTAAGACACGGGCAGCGGGAACATGGCCAACCTGAGCGCCCTCTCTCCTTTCTGCAGGCGAGCACGGATTTCTTCTCTAGCGGTTCTGTAGCATTTGTAATCCTCAAGACACCTGGATGTGGCACAGTTAGAGAAAAAAGTGATACTAGATTTTATTAACACAATTTTGAACTCCCCGATGTTGAATTCTCCATGTTCAGTATTTTCAAAAATGAATGATCATTTTCTTTTCTTGTGCCATTTAATGCATTTCTACAAGTTTTTATTGATTACTCAGCCCCAGCGGGCTTACAGGTCGCCTTTGAACACAAACTTTAACAGGCACATAGGGCTGCCCTCAAATCAACTAACTTGGAGAGCTTTTAAAAAAGAAGAGTTCAAAAAAAAAAAAAAGAAAGAAAGAAAAAAGCTGGGCATGGTGGCGCGCACCTGTAATCCCAGCACTAGGGAGGCTGAGGCAGGAGGACTGTTATGAGTTCAAGGCCAGTCTGGGCTACAAAGTGAGCTCAAGGCCAGCCTGAACAGCATAGCAAGACTCTGTCTCAAAAAGACAATCAATCAATCAATCAATCAATAGGAAGAGTTCTTTTCATTAAAACAAAAACTGCTTCGTGAGCACCATTAATGGTCTGTGAATCGGTATAATTCACGTAGAAACCCACTAAGTCTTAAAAATGTTCTTACCTTTTGGTTCATTAATTCAACTTTTGCAATCTACCTTAAGGAACTAATCCTAAATATAAGGAACATCCTAAACATGATAGATAAAATCATTTGCTCGGTAAAATCTTACTTATCAGTAAAAACTATAACCAACAGTCTGGTTAAATTACAAGAAACAACTTTATAAACTTTTACATACCAAAAACAATTGTTTTTATAAAGGGTTTGTCACAATACGGAAAAAAGGGTAATGTTACACGGCCAAAAAGTAGAGTATTTTATACACAACACATAGTGAAATATTTAAAACACTATAAAGTTATGTATGTAAAATAGACTAACCCCAAATACTCACGGAGAACAATTTAAAAATCTGTAGCAAATGTATTTTAAAGCAAAAAAAACACACAAACTGGTAAGAAATTCAGGACCCAAACTCTACACAATGTATTTTGTTTGTTTGTTTGTTTGTTCTTTTTTGTCTTTTTGAGACAGGGTGCAGTTCAGACTGGCCTTGAGCTCACTCTGTAGCCCAGGCTGGTCTCAAACTCGAAACGATCCTCCTGCCTCAGCCTCCAGGGTGCTGGGATTACAGGCGTGCGCCACCATGCCCGGCTACAATGTAAACATACAGACACAAGCAAAGCTGTGACTCCAGGTTTTTGCCTGGAGCACAGATGTGCCGTTTTAGCTTCCTCTGACTCCTCTTATCATGTGGGCCTGGGTGGGTTGAAGAGATGTTTAATAGAAATCTCCCTCTGTAAAGCTATTTTGGTGCAAGACTGTGAAGGACTGGTCCTTACAGAGGAAGTTCCTACAAAGCAGTACGAAAAAGACAACCTAGTAAATCTGGATAAAGGCTCGCGTAGACATTTTACAGAAGAGAACTATGGATGATCCGTCAATATTCAGATCAAACTCAGCAGTAAGAGAAATGCAAATAAAACCACAATAAAGTAATACTTCTTACTCATTAAAATGACAAAAATGAAATCTCTGTCAAAAACAGCAAATGTTGGTAAGGGTATGAGACAACTGAAATATTTATTTGGCATTCATGCTCATATCTGTGGACCTAGGCAGCCGTACTCTTAGATATATACCACAGAAAACTCTTGCCTTTAAAAATGCTCTTAGGCTAGGCCTGTAATCCCAGCACTCGGGAGGCTGAGGCAGGTGGATCGTTGTGAGTTGGAGACCATCCTGGGCTACAAAGTGAGCTCAAGGCCAGCCTGAACTGCATTGCGAGACCCTGTCTCAAAAAGACAAAATAAATAAATAAATAAAAATAAAAATGTTCCTATGGGCACTCTTTATGAATTCAAGACAAAACAAAAACTGAAAACAATGCAAATGCCCATCAATAGCCAGGTATGCAGATTTTACTACAGACCAGGACATGAATAAGCACCAGGAGTATAATTATGACTTTGAAAGGGTGACAGAATATACATTACGTGTCAGTTTAAAAGTCATGGAAATAGAACACATCCATGGTATATGACAGAACGCAGGGAGAGGACAAATATATTTAAGTTAATAGTTCTGAGAGGAGACAGAAAGAACACACCGAAGAATTCAAATTCATGTTTACCTTTGAAACTTTAGGTACAGAAATGTTTATTTTTTGTTTTTGGGGGGTTTTTCTGAGATAGGGTCTCACCACACAGTTCAGGCTGGCCTTGAGCTCACTTTGTAGCCCAGGCTGGTCTCGAACTCGCAACGATCCTCCTGCCTCAGCCTCCTTCCCAAGTGCTAGGATTACAGGCGTGAGCCACCACGCCTGGCACAACATTTATTTGATCTCTTTATGCCCTATACATACTTTTACAAACATTCTCTTGAATGTAACCAATATCTAAAAAGAAAAACATTGAAATAGAATAAAAAGTTTATCCTAGTTTTCTTTAGTGACACATTTATCTTTACTTTTCCACACTGTCCAAATTATCTCCAACGCATACATATTATGTACAAAGAAAAAACCCTACATCTTACGTCGTTAAACCATTACTCTGAGGAAGACTTGCCTGGCTATCTCTGCTTCCTCTGCTTGGGCTGCCTCTTTCCAGGTCAAGCTCTTAGAAACGAGGTCCTGCAAAGTGTGCTGAAGCTGCATTTTGGCCTCCGGACTGGACACAGATCCCAGTTTTCTAGTGAGGTCCTCGATGACTGTTACTGTGGATTCCAATTCCTCTTGCTTCCGACACAACCTGGCTAGTGATTCCTCTGGGTCATGCAGGTCCACTCTGCGGGACACAAAGATGGCTTCGAGGGAAGCGAGGATTCCTACAGCCCCACTGATGGCTTCACTATAGCGTGTGAGATTTTCACAGGCGCTATTCAAGACATTCTGGGGAATAAGAGATTACAGACTGTGATAAAAAAACTCCAGATTCTCTTATGTTTTTAATGCAATTGTTGTGCTATTAATTTTAGTTTGGGCACATCACGGGGTAGCTTTGGACCTCTGTTTTGTCATTAAAGTACCGAAGAGTTCACTGACTTTAAAGGTCCCTTCTCGTCCACCTTTGTCATTATTCTGACTATAGCAATTGCTTCCTGAAACCGTATTAAAACTGAAAGGTACTCAAATTACCCCCACACTCATTATGAATCCATTTAAACAACCTACTAGGGTTCACCACATGACTATGTATTTTCTATAGCATTTACATCTATCAAAATATTTCAAATGTATTATCCAATAATATTTGAATCAAGTTAATTTCTCCATTTTATAATTTATTAGTTGACTGCGATACAATACTGTGTAAAGCATTATATAAAGTACAGTGTAAATGATGTCTAAGATATCTGCCCCACTATCAGAAGGAAAGGCAGTCTTTTGGAGTCACTCTTCAACAGAGGCCAGCAAATGATCGCAATGCCAACTCTGCTATTAAAACACAAAAGCAGCTGTATTCGCTCACCAACAAATGGGCACGGTTGTGTTCCAATAAAACTTTATTTATAAATCAGGTAGTATGGGCAGGATTTGGTCACCAGGGCTTAATTTGATGATCCCTGATCTAGACACAGACAGATCTCAATTTCATTCCTAATTCTGTTCATCTTACATGACAAGGAGAAAAATCTTCATGTTTCCGAGTTCAAATTTCCTTATTTTAATTTTATTATTTTTGCAGTACTGGAAATTGAACACAGGGACCTGTACATGATTGCAAAGCACTGTACTACTGAGCTACTCCCTAAACTCTTAATTTCCCTTTAAACTAGGCTAACGACAGCACTCACCTCACAGAGTTGCTGTGAGGATGAAATAGAGTACTTACTGTTGTGCTCAGCACGCTGTAAATTCTAAATAAAGACTTATCATTGGATATTCTTCCCTCAGTACTTCGTCATATCTTATTTTGTTTTCTTTTTTTTTTTTTTTTAGTTTTTTTGGTTTTTCTCCGGTACCAGGAACCGAACTCACGACCTTGTGCTTGCCAGGCAAGCGCTTTTGCCGCTGAGCTAAATCCCCAGCCCCTTCGTCATATCTTATTATCTCTAAAAACAAACAGCAACAACGGAAGTTTGTTCTGAGTTCAATAGGGGCGATGAGGGAAACAGAAATAAACGATGTCAGATGTGTCCCTTTCCAGGCTGCAATGTGCCAAATTCCAAAGCAGAGTGAGTCAAAATTGTAAAAATGGCTCACGGGATTTCTGAAAACAGCTATTTTCTTGTAGAAACTGTAGCTTCTTTACAAGTACAGATATTAATTAGAGTACAACAAAACAAAAATCATGAACTATAGGTGCATTTAATGACTCCTTTAAAAACTTACTGTGCGGAAGTCAATGCTTCTGCTAAGCTCCATTTGGAGATCTTCAATGTCACGCAGCTTTGTCTCCATGTCACCAGTTTCAGGAGAGTTTTCTTCTCTCTGCTTCTCAGCCAGAGTCACAGCTTTAATGCTGTACATTTCGGCATGAACTTGATCTTGAAGTGCTTCCCAATTAGCCTTCTCGTTCTGAATATGATTAATGTCCAAATTTATAAGCAAAGGCTTCTCTAGTTGAGATTTTATCCCATTTAAAACATGTAGAGAATTTTCCAGTTTGTCGTGAAAATGCTTTTCATCTACTTCCTTTGGCTGGAATTCAAGCGCCATGTTTTGGAGATCCCTGTTCAACCTATCATTTTCTCCTGCAGCCAGCTTTAGTTGTGCAATTTCTTTCTCCTTGAATGAATCATCAAAGGCCTTATTTTCACTTACTTGTTTAATTATGTCATTATACAAGCACTTGGCCTTCTCAGTTTTCTCAGCCAAAATCTGAGCACTGAGGAGACTGCTTTCTGGTGAAGGAGCAGGAGAGTTTAGTACTAGTTCAGCCTTTTTCTTAATTTGCAAATCTACAGCCTTCACTTGACTTAGTGCTGCTTGATACTTGCCATGTTCTGCCACAAGTATGTCCAACTGCTTGATTTTTTCTTCAAGTTCTTTCTCTTTTTCAAGCACTTGGGTTTGCAACTGCTCAAGCTGCGAGCCATCCCAGGTGAGTCCTGTATCATCAAACACTTCTCTAAGTTTCAGGACTCCTAAGATGCTACCTCGAATACCAGCAAGTCTGTCTTTAAGATGCTGAAATTCTTCTTTAATGTCCTGACCGACTTCTGGGTCCAGCAGTGGCTCACTGTGCTGTCCACGTGCAACCTCCTCCTGCAGCATGGATTTTCTTTCACGGAGTTCTCTGTAAGAACTTATCTTGTGTTGCACTTCACTACATTTATTCTGAATGCATCTTTGAATTGTGTTGACTCTAGTCTTCAGATTGCTCAAATGATTATGCAAAAACAATCTCTCAAACACATTGAGACCCTCAGAGATGTCTGTGAGTTCCCGAAGATGTGCTGCGATCAGGCTCTCAACGTCCTGCAGGGCCTTCTGGGACGCCTTCAGAGTGGCATGGTGACAGTCCAGTTCCGCTTCTGTGGGGGCCGCTTCCGCGTTGGGAATTATCAGTGCTTCCTGCCTTTGAAGTGTCAGCTGAGCCTCCCCCATCATTTCAAATAATTTGCTTCTTTCTTCCAACTTCAACTCTAATTGCTGTGACCTCTGAGTTGATTGGAAAACCAGCATTTGGTACTGGCTCTGTAAGTCCTCCAGGGTGCTATTTACATTGTCTCTCTCAGAGGCGGTGAGGCTGGGACCGACAGCTTTCACCTCCTCAGCCAGTGACTCTACAGCCTGCTGCTTGTCCAGAATGTCGGCCTGCCTCCCCTTGCATTTTCTGATCTGTGCAAGGATGTCATCGGGGAGAAGGGCAACCGGAAGCTCGAGTTCACCCAACAGACTCCTGACCCACAAGAGGGTCTCTTTCATCTCAATTTTTATGCTAGACTTCTGAATCTGACTTTCCACCTCTAGGTTCAATGGCTCCACGGCTTCCCACTGCTTCTTCAAATCATGTATTGCATCTTCCAAAACCTTCCTTTCTTTCTCTCCCCAAATCCTCTTCATCTGGACTTCAGCTCGACTCCTGATGACAGCAAATCCATGCTTGGCGGCCTGGAGCTCAGCAGCCGGGGCAACGAGGCTTTGGCTCCCGCCCTGCTCTTCTGGCGAGTTCAGCCCCAACAGTAGCCGCTGCTGCTGCTGCTGCAGAGAACTCTCAATGTCACGGATCTTACTCCTGAGGGAAGTGAATTCCTCCTGCTCCACGATGTGCTGAGAATACTTCTTCTGAACCAGCTGTTCCAGGTGTTCCCAACCGCGCTCCAGCTGCTCCATCTGACTCTGCAACAGCTGCTTATCCATGTCAGCCACGTGGTTCGACAACTTATCCCACTGGACCTTCAGTTCAATTAGAGAACCTTTTTCTTTTTCTATTGATTCCAGGAACTTGTTAATTTTCTCCAGATAGGTTTCACTTTCCAGGGGTCCCCTAGGATGAAAATAAAAATAGAGGTCACTAAGGCTTCACGTTTATTATACTCTAACATGGAGTAAAGGGTCATTAAAAGAAACCACCTCGGCTTTGAATTCACAAGAGCGAGCAAGGTATCTATAAAGAGTACCCTATCCTTAAATACTCAGAATCTTGCTTACTGTGGCTCCCAATTAATGCGTGACAATGCAAAGGCTGGCTGTAAAACAAGCAGAATAAAACCGAAGAGCCACAGAAGTGCAGGGAAAAATGCATGTGGAAATACTTCGTACGCTGTAAAGTACTTGGACAAAGGCTACTTTAGAGAAATTACGGGACCACCCAACACCTTTGTTACCACCTTCCCAACACAGATACTAACTGAAAAGCTGCAATACTAGGCTGATCTTTTAAACTACAAAACCACTTCCTCGAAAGATATTAAAAGTAACCCCGTTCATATATAAAGCAAGTATTTCAATGAGAACACACTTACATATTAGTATTATATTTACCATTATTTGCCATCATTTTCAAAGCCAAAGAAGTGCGTATCTCTCAAAGAAACTATTAAAATATATAAAATATGTACTAAAGGGGGCTGGGGATTTAGCTCAGCAGCAAAAGCGCCTGTCTGGCAAACGCAAGGTCGTGAGTTCGGTTCCCGGTACCGGAGAAAAACCAAAAACCAAAAAAAAAAAACAAAAAAAAATATGTACTAAAGTATTTAAACCAATCATGCTGATGCTAAGCAACTACATACATGCTTTCTCCACACATCAATTTGCCAGCATCTTTTTTGAAACGAATAAAAATATAAACAACACAGAGGGCCGGCAATATAGCTCAGTGCACAATGCCTGCCTGGCAAGTGTAAGGTCCTGAATTTGATTCCCTGTACCAAAAAACAAAACAAAACAAAAAAAATGATACAGAATTTCAAAACAAGATGACAGCAAATTTTTTTTTTTAATTTTAATTTTTTTTTTTTGGTACCAGGAATCGAACTCAGGAGCTTGCACTTGCCAGGCGGGCGCTTGTGCCACTGCGCTCTATCCCCGGCGATGACAGCAAATGAACAATGGTTATTATATTGCATATTGTTATCTTCAAAGTAGTTGCTAGGATTATCAGACACAGGCATGCAAAACTGATCAAACAATATACGCAGCACTAGTTGTTCCTTTCAATGAACTAATAGAAATCAGCAGTACAATTATCTTAGCTATCTTGTGTGTGTGTGTGTGTATATACATATATATACATATATATTTTTTTTTCCTTCTTTCTTACACTTTCCGACCTCCAAACTCTGAAATATACGTTTTTGTTGTTTAGAGGCCGCCCAGCCTGAGCGCATGTCCGTGGTACCGTTTTTAAAATCGCGCTCTCCTTTCACACTGCTGGGTAGACCAGCAGCCCCGCGCCCGCCCAGCCAGCAAGACCGTGGGAAGGGAAGGGAGTGCTGCGCTCGCACTTACACTCTGAGACTTCCCTTCTCCGCCCGTGAGTCACTCAGGGAGGACTCGAGTGCAGCGAGGCGTTCCTGGAAATCTTGCAGGAGACGGTACTGGCTTTCTTTGTTTTTCTTCAAAGCAGACAGCGCCTGAAGCAGACTGTCCAGGCGGCGAGAGGACCGCCCTGTCTCGCGGAGACCCACGGCGCTCGTTTCTGCGTTGTGGAGCTGTTCGGACTGTGCCAGTGGTTCCATGGCTTCCTTCCTTGCTTCCAACTGGGTATATAATTCCTACCGACAAGATGCGCACAGCAGTAAATACACACCCACTCCTGTTCGTTCATTTTCTTTCTTCTCCTCCTTCTCTCAGATAACCAAACCTATCCCCAAATACTTTATGTGCACACAGGAAAACTAAGGTCATGACATCTACCACATTTGTTTCACCTGCGTCATGTTAAAATCTGTACTAAAACGCACCACTGACCCAACATTTAATATCAATCAGATCACCCCACTGTCGCAAAAATTCTGTTATTTCTTGTCCTTCTCTTTTCTTTCCCTTTCTCTTCTTTTGAGACAGGGTACTGCTCTGTCGTCCAGGTGGGTCTCCAATTTCTGGACTCAAGCGATTCTCCTGCCTCAGTCTCTGAAGTAGCTGCAATGTCACTGTGCCCTATTCTAGGTTCTCTGATTTCTTTTTCTTTTTCTTTTTTTTTTTTTTTTTGGTACCGGGAAACTCAGGACCTTGTGCTTGCCAGGCAGGCACTTGTGCCACTGAGCTATACCCCGGGCCCTAGGTTCTCTGATTTCTAAGGAAAAATTCATCTTATTTTTTACATACATCACCGCTCTTCCCTTTTTAGATACACATTTACTGTTATATAATCTCAGCTAAAATTGTAGGGATCGGGGCTGGGGATTTAGCTCAGCAGCACAGTGCCTGCCTGGCAAGCGCAAGGTCATGAGTTCCATTCCTGGTACCAGAAAACAAACAAACAAATAATAATAATAATAATAATAATAATAGAATAAAATAAAATTGTAGAGATCATTTGTGGTTTCCTTTTTTAAAAACATGACCATGGAGGCCGGGAGCTCAGTGGCACAGCGCCTGCCTGGCATACACAAGGTCCTGAGTTCCATTGCCGGTACTAAAAAAAAAAAAGCCATGACCATGCATTGGATTTTCAGACTACTTTACATAGTTAAAGATACATAAATACCCTAATACAGCCTCTAAACACAGCTGTAAAAACAAAGGAGGAGGACCCTATCACATTGACCATGAGGAATAATAAAAAGAATTCATCAGAAGCAGAAGAATACACTTGACTATGAAAAAAAAAGGATAGCAAGTCAGAAGCTTCAACATTTCTCCTGGTTTTCTTCCTGAAAAAGTCCACAGGAACTTTTTGAAAGTGAAGGAAGACCGATGCCCATTAAACTCTTCCACCGTTTAAATGGAATGATTTATACAACTTACTGATTAGTACATAATTATAGAGTTACCAAATTGATCATCAGGCAAAGGTTAAGTAGACTTTTCACTCTGTGCAAGCAAGTTTCTGGTAATTACAAGATATTGTACTGTGCCGGGCAAACGACGCAATCACGCCGCAGCGATGCTCGTGTTTCCATACCTCTATTGCTTTTAATTGTTCACTTCTTAACACAGCATCTAACTCTAAAGGTTGATTTTGCAGCTCATTGACTTTCTGCTCATCGTCAGTGCTTTTCATGCTTTCTTGAACACTGAGAGAAAGTTGTTTTGACAAAACCGTTTCCACAGCTGAATTCTGAAAGCACAAAAAGATTGTTGAATAGTCCACCTTCCAAGTGAAGCATTTTAATTTCTCTTAACAAAAACCATTCTCCTTTGTTCTATTTACTCAGAGAAAAGACTTTAAAGAAGACTCTACGGGTACTACCAAAGATGATTGATTCTGTACAATAATTAGTATCTATGTGGTAGGTATCCTCCCAAAGAAATTAAAAAACATCATAATACAGGGATATAAGCAAACCCATGTTTATAGGAGCACAATTCAGCCGGGCATGGTGGTGCATGCCTGTAATCCCAGCACTCAGGAGGCTGAGGCAGGAGGATCGCTATGAATTCAAGGTCAGCCTGGGCTACAAAGTGAGCTCAAGGCCAGCCTGAACTGCACAGCAAGACCGTCTCAAAAATAAATAAATAAATAAATAAAATAAAAAAGAGACACACACACACATAAAAGACAAAAAAGGGAGCACAGTTCATAATATGTAACTCTTGGAAGTGGCCTTTATGTCCATCAACTGACAAATGTGTAAAGAAAATGTGGTATTCACACACCAGCGGAACGCTACTCTGCTCTAAAAAAGCATGCATCTGAATTGTCTGTAGGAAGATGGATGCACCTTGAGACCGTATGTTAAGTGAAATAACTCAGACACAGAAGCTTAAATATGGCATGGCTTCTCTGAGATGAGAAACCAAAACTATAAATTAAAGAGCAAAGTAAGAGATAATGAGACCCAGAGAGACAGATCTTTTACAAATGGGAAGAAGACCAAAAGATGGAGGGAGGGGATGAGAAAGAAAGAATGAAGCCGTGCTGTGTCCATGGTCCATCTCCCTGCGGTGAATGGAATCATTATGAACTGCAAACAAGCACTGATACAAATAGATTTTTTTTTTTTTTTTAAAAAAACCTACATTGGTACTCCCTCAAAACGCAAAACGTTTTCCACAAATACTACAACTTCTAATTTTGCTCCATTATATCCTGAGGCAGAACATGGTCTTAAAGAAAACAGATATCAAAGAGCCGAAGTTACCAAAGGTGTATTAGCATTCACGCTGATGGCCAGGCCAGGGCAAGGGCCAGCTACTTGTGGGTATCTCTTGGGAGAAGGTTAGAGTAGGCGGAGGAAACAGTGGGACCTCATGATGTTAACAGTAAACTATCTTAAACCAGTCAGCTGTAAGAATTAGGACCTGGGTAGGACAGGGCATGTTATCCACTTAAAGGAGTAACTTGATCTGTTTTGAAAGCTTCAAGACTTGAGGTTCTCAACAGGACACACAGAGTCAGAGCACCTGGACTCATTAATTCCTTTATTCATTTTGTTTGTTTGTTTTTGAGGCAGGGTCTCACTCTGTAGTTCAGGCTGGCCTTGAGCTCCCTTATGTAGCCCAGGCTGGCCTCAAACTCAGAAGGCCTCCTGCTCCAGCCTCCCGAGTCCTGGGATTATAGCCATGTGCCACCACACCCAGCTCATTCTTTTTGAGACAGGGTTTCACTATGCAGTTCAGGCTGGCCTTGAACTCACATTGTAGCTGAGGCTGGTCTCCAACTCACAATGCTCCTCCTGCCTCAGCCTCCCAAGTGCTGGGATTATAGGCATGCTCATTTATTTTTTTCAATAGGTGTTTGTTGAGCACTTACATGTACCAGGCACTATACCAGTGATTTTTAAAGATTTCCATTATTTTGTTAAGATGCTTGTTTTATTTCTAGGTACTTTATAAATGAAAAAATCATTTAATTTTGCTTTATGCTTTGATGCCAGTAAAGTCTTTAAAGTATCACATCTGTAACGAATTATGTCTATATCCCCAAAACAAGGGAGGAATTGGCTTAAAAGTAATTCCTGGATAATGAGATATTAATAATGGAGGAAACTGGGCATGGGGGTACAAGCAAACTTTCTATATTTCTGTGAATTTAAAGTTACTCTAAAATTTAAAGTTCATGTAAACAAAGTGTCTGGAGTTTCATAATTCTAACTGGTAAGAGAATTTGGTTGCTTTTGGTTTTGAAGTACAGCACAAGTCACTTCTTTGAAAAAGTTGCAAATAACCCGGTGTGGTGGTGCACACCTATAAATCTAGCACTCTGGGAAGCTGAAGCAGGAGGATTGCAAATTTCAAGACCAGCCTAGGCAACTTAGTGACTTTGTGAGACATTGTCTCAAAATAAAAAATAAAAGGGCTTGTGGATGTAGCTGAGTGAGAAGGCCCTGGTACAATCCTAGAACCATCTCTCTCTCTCTTACACACACACAGAGAGCTGCAAATGATGAAAAGCTAAAGGGAGGGCGACATCTCAGAGGAACGATTCCAAAAGACTGTGAGAGGAAAGGCGCACAGCGCAGGTTTCATCTGTCAGGTTCACAAGGTTCTGCCTGTGGGCCAGGCATCTGCCTTCTTCTACCTGCAGGGTACTCTGTCCCAGCAAACCCTACCAATGTACCTGGACACAAGAGCATCTGAGCTAAGAGCCTAGATCCTAGGCCCTGGGAGAGCTCCTGAGAATCCAGAGCCGTGGTCTCTCACCCGAGGAACCAGTGCCTGGGCACCGCCATGGCACAGGAAACACTTCCGCCATCTGCAGCGACTGCCTTCACTGGTTGGAAAAAGGACACCTCTCTACCCGGAGTCACCCCCAAGCATCATTCTTTCATCAACCCTAAGGGCCTTTTTCTACCTTGGCGGACAAGCCAACAGAATCCCTCAAACGAACACTTCAAATTTAAAAGGCAACGGTCCTATGCTCATGCCAGCGGGTGGAACCCCGACTCTGGGCCATGATTGGCTCCTGCAAAGTTCCTTCTGCAACAGTCATCCCTTGCTCACAAGCCTTGGCTATGCTTTAGCTTGATTTTGGAAGCTCATCTCAAACGCTTCATCTTAAATTATACAATACTGTAAATATACAAAAAGAACAAAAATAACAGACGCTGTGACTGAAAACACTCAACTCTTATTTCATCTCTTCCTCCCTAGAACAAACCACTATTCTAAACTCCATGTATATACACTGTTACACTTTTCCTACATATGACAGAACTCATGCAGCATTGTTTTATGTGTTTTTAAAATTCTTATAGAAGCCAGGCGTGGTGGCGCACGCCTGTAATCCCAGCACTCGGGAGGCTGAGGCAGGAGGATCACTGCAGCCTGGGCTACAAAGTGAGCTCAAGGCCAGCCTGAACTACATAAGCGAGACCCTGTCTCAAAAAAGACCAAAATAAATAAATAAATAAATAAAATTCTTATAGAAAGTTGAATCATGTATGCAAATGGGGGGCCAAGAATATAGCTCAGGGGAATCATGCCTGCCTGGTAAGCATGATATCCTGAGTTCAATTCCTGTTACAATTAAAAAAAAAAAAAATTAGGTTCATGGGTATAAATCTAATATAGCCAATTCAGTTCTGTAGCTGTTCTGTTTGGGTTTTTTTGTTTTTTGTCTGTTTTTCTTCTGGTACCAGGAATCGAACTCACAACCTTGCGCTTGCCAGGCAGGCACTATGCCACTGAGCTAAATCCCCATCTCCTTAGATGATCTGATGGATGGGTAATAAACAAGTCTGATTTATGTTAGGCTACTGTGGACAAATATATTGTTTCCAGCTCTTCCACCCTACGTATGGCTGTGACGCACACCTTTGTAAAGTTCTTGCCCAGGGTCCTTTCGCTTCTCAATAGATAGTTACTGACTTATTCCCCAAAACAGATTAGTTTCTATGCCTCCCAGGGAGGCAGCCGAAAGAGGCCAGTCAACAGAAGCATCACCGTTCCTTTTCCAGCCCACGGTCCCTGACTCTGGCTACACTGTGACAGCCAGAAGCCTAAGTGCACCAGTCGGACCCTGCCAACAGGGGGGACCAAGTGTCCCTGCAGATACGAAGCAGTGACAACAACTCTAGGCAAAAGCATTATCACCACAAGAGACAAAACAAAAGATCAACGGAGTCTGCATCAATGACCGCCATGCTCTCTAAGTGCAACTCTTCAGGTAACACCTACTGTGCTAATGTGACCCGGGAGGCCCTGGTGACTCAGCCAGCTGTGCCCAGCTCTTAGGCCTCACTTCTGTGCCTTTCTGCTGCCTTCAACCCGCTGTGCTCCAGCCACGGTGCCCTTAGCTTCTGGAATCTTCCACTTCCTCCCACCACTTTGTTCATGGAGTGCCTTTAGTCAGCCTCTGGAATCTTCCACTTCCTCCCACCGTTTTGTCTGCTGAGCTCTGCTAACTCCAGCTGACCTTTCCAGCGGTCTCAGGTCTCAAGCTGCTTGCTGACAGAAGCTGTCTCTGACCCTACTGCCCATGTCAGGTGGCACTGCTAGAGACCAAGAAGGAACTAGGTGCCTTCCTTTAATTTCCTGCCATTGCAGTGTCCTTAGTGTAACCCCTTGATTCATGTACCAGGCCAGCCCAGAAGCTCTGTCAGAACAGAGGTCGTGTCTATGTCTCAATTCTCAGTGCCTGCTAAATAACCTTTTACTGAATGGATATACTGATAAATTCAAGCCAGAGGGAAGAAAACGGATTTTACTTAGTCTGCTATGGTCCATAGTTATAACTGGTGAGTTGTGATGTGCAACGGAAAGAACTTGAAAGCCTGTCAGTCTAGCGGGGGCGGCGCAGACTGGTTAGGAACGACAGAAACGGGGTTCGGGTGGGGCTGAAGTGGGGAGATCAGAAAGGAGCGTGGGAACTGTGCGACAAGGCACTCAGGAGGGCTCAGTAAAGGTCACACAGCACGTGAGTGAACTAAGGGCTCTACAAGGTCCCATGATAAAGAAAATCTAGTTGAATTTGTTTAGCCTCACATCCCTCGAAGTTCTTTAGACCCCAATTTTCTCCTATGTAACGTGGCCTGCAGATGGCGGGGTAAAGCTCCGAGAACCAGACTGTGTACACAGCACCCACAGGCTCCCGCCCCTGCGCGGCTGGGCCTCCTCCTGCCTGAAACACAAGGGTTAGGTTTTCTGTTGTTGTCGTTGTTTTTGGAACCGGGAATCAAACTCAGAACCTTGCGCTTGCCAAGCAGGCACTTGTGCCGCTGAGCTATATCCCCAGCCCAAACACAAGGATTAGGACAGAAAATTTCTAAGGTCCTCCCTCAGCCTACGATTTTAGGACCCTGGAGCCCGTTTTCAAATGCATATAGCTTGTGGATGGCAAAACAAGTACACATGCAAGCGGCTTACCCTGTAAAGGACTGAATCCGGGCTTACAAACACCACCCCTGCGGGAAGAAGCAAGCCTGCAACCTTAGCCAGCACGAGCAGAGGAGGACGCTGAGAAGACAAGTGCACACAGGACCTATCTGTGCCCATCGGCTCAGCCCCCGGGATCAACGGCATCATCCTCTGTCTCCGTTCCCTCAACCAGGGCCGGAAGCCTTGCCTGCTCTGCCTACATCTGCGCTCGTCGATCTTCTGGGGTTCATCTGTGGATGCCTTCTTCACTACCAAAATGTGACTGCTCAGAAACTTGCGACAAGGATAAATCCTATTCAGAAAGGCTCACGAGCAATTATACCAAAGGACGAGAAATTTAAAGAAGTAATCACACAGGCTTTGTGCGTGGGTTTGGTTGTTTTGCCCCCGCCCCTTAAAGCGAGTGTGTCTTGCAGGTTGGCATCTGGGAAGAAGGGGCAGGAGAGGACTCTGGGTCTCAGTTAAGCTGTGCTGTTGCTCTCTGACTCTTAGAAGAACAGTAAAGCAGGAATGTGTAAGCTCCCCTGCTTCCAGTCTTTAGTATTTCCCATTATGGACAGGAAACCCAAGTCCCAAAAGAGGGTTCACTGTTTACCACACCCTAACCTGTTACCTCACTTAGCCTATAGAGAAAAGAGGGGAGGCAGTTCTGTCTATTCACTTTTTAAAACTCAGAAATTCACTTCTGTAAAAACATGGTAGATGTTATACTGGACCATCATTACTTAGCCCCTTCAGAATAAATTTTGCAACTTCTTCTGTCTCCAGGCCTGCGTTAGTATTTCCAATATTGAAGAAAAAGTCAGCAGAAGGTCTAGATCTAAAATAATTCCTCAAGTTCTTCCACACGAAACTCTTAGCAATGGATTCAAATGCAGACATGCTCTGATGGCAATTTTCCCCTCCTGGTCCTCACAATTGGGCCCAGGGCCTTCACACTGAGCTAAAGCTCTACCCATTTTAAAATTTTTATTTTGAGACAAGGTCTCACTAAGTTGTTAAATTGCCCAGGCTGGGCTTGAAAATTGCAATCCTCCTGCCTCAGCCTCCCAGGGTGCTGGGATTACAGACCTTTGCCACCAGCATAATGGCAATTTTGAATCATACTTTCAACGAAGATTAAGGACATTTTCTAGAGAAACTAAATAAAAACTTTCCAAAACTTTGGAAACTACTTAAAATAATCTAATGAAATGACCTCTTGATTACCTGCCAAAAGGCAGGTGAAGTATTACGTATTTGCTTAATGTTAAAGCTCTCACAATTGTATCCTCAGTCTAACAGAAAAATCCGTGCAAAAGAGGGATCAAAAATGTTTTAGTGAATTTGTTTATTTTCACTGTTACAACAGTTTTAGAATAATCAGATTTATAATTTTGTACAAATTTTTTATGGCTTTTTGTACTCCTTATGTTGAGAGTCCTGCATCTGTCACTGTCCCTGAATAATAGCATCGGTCATATTACACATGCATATGGTTGAGCTTTGATTTCTTTTACCAACTGGTGTTGTTCAACCATGAAATTGCTCATGGCTGGGCATGGTGGTGCACGCCTGCAATCCCAGCACTTAGGAGGCTGAGGCAAGAGGATTGCTGCGAGTTCGAGGCCAGCCTGGGCTACAAAGTGAGCTCAAGGCCAGCCTGAACTGCACAGTGAGATCTTGTCTCAAAAAAAAGACCAAAAAAAAAAAAAAGAAGAAATTGCTTGCGGCCTTTCACAGTGTAATGTTACATAATGCTGCACAGTCTAATGTTACAAACTAAGCATAGTACTTATGACAGAAAAATACGCAGCACAGATTCAGAAAAAAATTCATGTTACGAAAGAGTAAAAGTCAAGTCTTGCTAGACAATTAAAACTAGTTTTCTGTAATCCAGATCTAGGGAAATTGTTGGCAGGCTTAATCCTGTCATCTGCTCTGAAAACATCGTTTTAATGATATATCATAAATTATCAGTAACTCATCATTGAAGGTTAAGTAAAATGCTTAATAAATTAGAAAAGACACTGGGTCATGAGCTTTCTATAGTCTTCAATATCCTCTACTGAGTTATGGAGGCTCCTGATCAAAGAGGGTCTGAAAAGTTAGTTTAGAAGTTATAAGGGAGCCAGGTGTGGTGCTGTACTCCTGTAATCCAGCACTTGGGAGGCTGAGACAGGAGGATCGCTGCGAGCTCAAGGCCAGCCTGCACTGCATAGTGAGACCCTAACCTCCTTCCCCAATGTCAAGAAGGACCGCCTCTTCTTATAATTTCTCTCATGTGAAGCACTCATGCTTTTCCTTTTTCAGTATCGAGTCCTCATTAAACACTCTCAGGAAAGTTTCTTTCATATACACAATCTCAAGCGTTTCACCAACTGAGGCTTTAACCCTTCAGACACATTCCTACCTAATACCTAATACAGTGGGATTTATAAAAAGATTTTCCCCGTGGCCAGAGAGGGGCTCCGGCATGTAACTCTGTTCTGCACATTTCTAGAAAAACCCCAGCCGCCTCCTTTAATCTTCCGCGCATCTCTGCTCCACGATTCCCTCTCCCCTTATGTGCTCTCACCCTGACCGCTCTGGCCCCCTCCGCACCACCCTGCACCGTGGGAGACGTCCGGAAGCCCTCACTGGCCTGCGCACTCCGCGCCTTTCCCAGCAATCTCTCTCCCCAGGGAACCTCAGGGAGACTTGGCAGCCTCACCCCACGTGATCTGACAACATTTAAAAGTGCACTTGTAGCCTGTAATCCCAGCACTCGGGAGGCTGAGGCAGGAGGAT